ATAATTAGTTTCTGGGTCCACATTCACAATATATTTAGAATTTTGATTTTAACTCAACCCCTAAGAACATTTCACAGACGCCAGCGTTCTGCGGAGTATAAAGTAAAGTTTTCTTTTTAAATGTTTACGCTTTAAAAGTACATATGAAGGATCTTTTATCTCGTTGCCATAGTATGTAACAATTATTTTTGGGTGCACAAGATGTACAAAAAATTGATTATTGATAAGTAATAAAAGTCATTCTTTACATAACGCAAATTTTATATTAAATGGGGCATATGAAATATCTCCTGAATAACAGGTATCCTTTAAGTGGTCTCTCTTTAAAATTGGAATTTTTATTTCAAATTATTCCTAATCATTAAAATTTTGCGAAGTATATAAAAAGATAAACCCGTTTAATCTGTTCCTGAATATTTTTCTCGGCAAATTGCCTTCTATTTTTCATGCTTGACCAAGCTCTTTTAATTTTTTTTTTTTTTTTTTTTTTAATTTGCAACCTTCTTTTTTTCTGTTTCTTTCCTTCCTTGAAATCTGAAACAGGCACATAAAGAAGATTACAATAAACTAATATCTCTACCTTTACGAGCTGTTATAAACCTTTACTAGATTATTATAGGAATCTTAGCTGATCTAAAAGAGATTAAAGGCATTATCTTTAAGATAAATATCTCTTTGTGGCACACTAAGTCCATCAATGTATTGAGATGTAATTAGGAATATATTTAGACTACGGCTTAGAGAAAACCTATGTTCAGAGTAAAGCCAGTTTATCCATAAATGAGCTTATCATATATTAGATGCGTTATTTTATCTTAAATTAGTTTCATTAACGTAAGATAAGAAAGTATTGATTAGATAACGTAAATTACGTACTGTTCTGTTACCATGACCGGATGTATTGTATTCATTTATGTAATTATGTTATTAATTACTTTTAAAAAATTTAAAGAGATATGTCAGTTTTCATTAGTAACACATCGATTGCCATATCACCCGTATGCGGGCGACGGCAAAAATGCGGATTAAGCAGTGTCAGCCGAATACAGATGACGCTTATATAAGTACTTAAGAGGTATGCTAGCAGGTATTTGTACAGGTATTTCATAGCACATAATAAGACTAATAAATTATTATAAAAGTAATATATAAATATGGTTTATTACAAAAATTATTTGTTGTTTAATGCTTTGAAACATTCAATGCAAAGTTGTGGTTGGTCAAGTCAAAATATATAGAACATTGTTGTCTTTTACATTTCTTCGTGCCTTTGATTAGCAATTGTGAACTCTTTCATTTGAGTAGCATACTCTGCAAAGAATGCTTAATGCTTTATTCAGAATAATCGGATAAAAATATGCTGACTACATTGAACTATAATATTGTGCTGACTACATTTTTAAGCAAATGGACTACAGATAATATATAAGATATTATATATACATGCTTTATAGATGTGTTTATCTTCTGCTATGATCAGAAACAATTGCACATCGTATAGCAGTGTGTGGTCTGACAGAAAATGTCTTATAAACTCGAGGTGGCAGTCAAGTTGTTCAACCGTTTAAGTGGCAATACGGTTCATTTAGTTCCGTTTCCGATTCGTTACACTGACGCTGAGGAAACAGACACAACAGAAGACGTCTGACAGACATGAAACTTATTTGATCCTTTTGTAAAGTGAAAGGATAAAACAAGCTGAATTCGTTTATGTTGCACAAGACAAAAACATACGGATGAGCGTTTAAAACGCTTAAAGTAGCCAAACAAACCAAAATATACGCAGATAATTTTTGGCTTCATTAACTTCTGTGGAGCACTTACATTTCTGTTACTCACAATGGGTAAATCCACAATATTTCAGAAGAGTTAAATCATTATCGTAATACTACAAAACAAGCATATACTTGGACGGTGGATGATGAAATTTTTCTAAGAAATCGTCCACATTAACTGATTAGACGATGAAGAAAATGAAAAGCAAAGCTATTTTGTTTGTGGTTGTGTTTGTTATCTGGATATAAAAGTATTCTGAGATTGGAGAATCAAACAGTTCATTTCTTATCTAAAATCAGTGCATTAATTTTGATTTTGTAAAAGAGGTATAGGAAAACAAATGGGGACAATTAGAGATTACCTTTTCATGTTTTAATGCTACAGCACTTAATATTATTATAATTGACGTAGTAATATTTTTTATAAAACAATAGATAAATAAACAATAGCATATAATTTTCCAAAACAAATTTTAAAAAACAGTTTTTTTGGGTAGTTACGTTTACTTTTAAAAAAATTGCATTTCAGCGTTGTTTCAGCACTGTTTTGAAATTGAAATCAAGAAAACCCGTTCCTTATACGTGTTTAATGACACATCGTAGAAAACACATAGCCTATCTGCCGTTTAAAATGACTTCCAGTAAATGCAGAATTTTAAGAAATGCTTGTGTATTATGCAGTTTATTTATAAGGACATGCATAATTTCAGCACTAATTTGCAATTACAATCAAGAAAACACGTCTGTTATACCTGTCTCATGACACACAGCGTATCTGTCGCTTAAGATGACTTCCGGTAAATGTAGAATTTTAAGACTTGTTTATGTAACATGCAGTTTATCTATAAAGAATAGACATCGGTATAGAATATGCAAAGTTTATATACAATGAAGTGCATGTGGAGAAAATGCGTTGCAATGGAATGCCTACTTATATCATTTTAACTTTTCTTTGGAAACATTTTGTCTTACGTATTGCAATGTATAGGAGAATGTGTATTTAGGGTATGGAACATTTACTTAGTGTTTGCTTTGAGATGTTTAGATTAATGTGACCAATATAGCTATCCCTATGGAATCTAATTACAAAATGTCACTAACTTACTTCCCTAGTTATCGAGATGGAAGGGACATTTGCATGTAGACCAAGACATAACAGTATTTAACATTAAAACTTTAATGACATAATAACTTTAATGACTTCTTGAACATTAAAAACCCAACTATAAAAATAACGGTATAATTAACGAAATAAAATTCACATTTTAAAGATAATCATATTAGGAAACGAAATTTACTGGTTTTCATCAAGCTAGGCATAAAATCTTTAGGTTGCCGATTTGGAAAGGAACTTTTCTCTTCGTTACTTACTCCAGCATGAATAATCAACGGCTACTGCTTCCAGCAGCTTCCATCCACTTGATCTGGCAGTCCTATGGCAAGCTCGACTATCGGTCTTCAGGAAGAATCCAACTTAGGCGAGAACAAACATCTGACATGAGACAACTGCAGACTGCTGACTAACCGACTACCGGTTCTTAACCACTTAACAGTTTTGCTTGAGCACCGTTTGGGTGCCGAGAAAATGGTCTTCCCTGAGCAGCCGGTACTCCGAGCGGGCAGTATTTTTTCCTACACCAATTCGCTAATTTGCAAGGCTTTTTCACTTTATACCAGTGTTTCTCAACCTTTTAGTATTCACGGCCCAACTTTCAATCATAATTTTCATCGCGCCCCCCTCCCCACCGCATACAATAAAATGTATGCAATAATAATGTATTTTGGCGCTAAACCTACACCACAACCTAAATTTTAAACTTTACAAATTACCCAGAATATGGAAATTTATTGACATTTTGCAACACCGATCCTCAGCATTAAAAAAACAAGAATCCTATGCCTTTTTATTGCTCTTGCGTCCCGCCATGTCGGGCATTCTCACGGTTTCGCGAGAAGTTTCGATTTGTCTGGAATTTGTCTGATCAGCTTAAAAGTTAAATTAGGAGCGTGCGCAGATGTAAACAAATGTTTTCTCATAGGGAGATGGAGAAAGTTCTATGACGCCACTTTCAATTCCAGACAATCTCATTCGAATCGATCCTTCTATCGCTATTGAATCTATTCTGAATGTGTACGTTATATATATTTTCGTGTAATTGCAATTCACCGCATTAAATTATTCCCGGCAGCAGACTTTAGCAGAATCATGGATAAATTTTTAAGCGGGCGTAAGCGAGCATTAGACGATAGACAAGCATCAACAAGTACACAGACGAGCGTGATTACGAAAATAAAATCAAGAAAATATTCTCAAGAATACTTAAATTTTGGGTTCACTAGTACTGAAGTAAATGAAGAAGAAAGGCCTCTGTGTATCATTTTCTCAGAAATGTTGGCGGCAGACAGCATGAAACCTAATAAACTTAAACGACATTTGGAAACGCTTTATAGTGAGTACGTAAACAAACCTAGAGAATTCTTCGAATTAAAATTAAAATCATATGAAAAGCAAAAATCATTGTTTAAAAAAACTTTGTCTGTGAATGAAAAAGCTTTAATTGCCTCTTACAAAGTTTCATATAAATTAGCCAGATGTAAAAAGCCTCACACCATTGGTGAAGAGCATATTTTGCCAGCCGCAACTGAGATTGTAGAAATTATGTTTGGAGATAATTTGCAAAACAATTGCAGTCTATACCTCTTTCAAATGATACTCTTGCCCGTCGAATTGCTGATATAGCTGAAGATGTAGAGTGTCAGCTTTTGTCGAAGTTACGTGACAAATTGTTTTCAATGCAACTCGATGAGACAACAGATAGTAATAAAGATGCTCATTCCATTGCCTACGTTAGATTTTGTGATGATTTGTCAGTAGTAGAAGAATTACTTTTCTGCAGACCAATAGAACTCAAAGCAACAGCACTCGCATTATTTGCTATCTTAAATGATTTTATGAACGAGGCAAACATAGAATGGAAAAATTGCGTCGGAATATGCACCGATGTTGCTCGTTCTATGTCCGGAAGATTCCAAAGTATTCAAGCACTTGTGAAACAAAAATCGCCGCAGTGCGTCTGGACACATTGCATGATCCACAGAGAAACTTTGGCTTCCAAAGAAACGAGTCCTGGTTTGAATATTGTGTGAACTACGGTTGTAACCGTAGTAAATTGTATAAAAATGAGACCTCTGAAATCAAGAATCTTTTCCGCACTGTGTAAAGACATGAGTGCAGTACATTCAGGGTTACTATTTTATTGCGAGGCAAGATGGTTATCACGAGGGACATTTTTGCTACGTGTTTATGAATTAAGAGAAGAAATCGCCGTTTTCCTAGAAGAGGAAAACAGACCGGAAGCTGAGAATTTTTGCGATAGTTTATTTGTGATGAAATTGAGCTACATGGTCGACATATTCGAGAAATCAAATAACTTGAATCTTCAACTGCAAGGAGCAAATACACATATATTGGATACGAGTGATAAAGTTAATGCTTTTTGTAGGCAATTGGAATTGTGGAGCAGAAATTTGAAGCAAGAAAACTTAACAACAATGTTTGTAAATTTGAATGATTGTATTAAAACTTACAAGGCTGAAGAACAACGTGTAAAAGTTGTTTTTGTAACCATTGAAAATCATTTAGCAATGCTAGCAAAGAGTTTTAAAAGTACTTTCTTGCTGACGACAAACTGATATCAAGTTACAAGTGGGTGAGAGATCCATTTCAAAATACTCCTGAAGGACACTCAATTGAAGAGGAAGAAGCCTTCATAGACTTCACGGCAAGCGGCGAAACCAAAAGACAATTTAGTAATAAATCACTCTTTGAATTTTGGGCAGGAGTGAATGATGAGTTTTCTGCACTAAAAACAAGGGCATTTTGCATTCTACTACCATTTTCAACATCTTACCTTTGTAAAACTGGATTTTCTGCGGTGGCTTCTTTGAAGACAAAATATAGATCTCATCTAAATATAGAAAAGAACTGAGAGTGTCTATTTCTAATATTAAACCCTCCTTCGAAAAACTTTGCTCTGCAAGACAGGCCCAAGGAAGTCACTATTAATAATTAAATTTGTTTTTAATTTAGTAAGTTGTTTTAATTTAATAAGTTAATTATTAAATATGTCGAAATGTATTTTGTTTTGTATGTGTGTGTGTGTTCTTTCCTTTCAGTCACTTAATCAATTTTTTGAATAACATTTTCTCTTGGATATGCTCGCGCCCCCCTAGGGAGCGCTCACCACAGTTTGAGAATCACTGCTTTGTAGCATTTCTAATAAATGTTTCTAGTAGACTGGAATGTAAAACCAGTTCAAGAACAGGTTCAGGGACTCTTCATTTAGGCTCAAAAAGGAATGATAGCGTAAAACGTGTGATACAAAAAAATGAAACCAGCTATTTTGGTCTCGATTGGGATATTGGCCTCTTCTTATCTCTATGTTTCAAAATATACCATACCAAAGTTGAAGTTTTAAATTAAAAAATAAATAAATAAATAAATAAATAATAAAATCTTTAAAAAATACATGGTTTTTTTACTATTGCTTATAAAGCGGTCTTTGCAGTTCCCCATCTTCATTAGAAAAAAGCCAACTTTAAGTAAAAATGCCTTATTTTCGACGCAATTAAAAATTCTCTTAAATTAATAAATACAGTACTTGAAACAATTTTGCCTGCTGATTTGAATTCAGAATTCTTTACAAAATACGCTGTTTTGGTCACAATATGGCAAAAAAATGAAACTGGTAAGTGGTTAAATGCCTGCGCTTTTCTCAAAATCTGCATTACTCACTGGAAGGAACGAGCTTCTGAGTAAATTCGAAGTGATAAGAACAATATACAAATTGTTTTTACAAGGGCTAATAACATGCATTGAAATTTTTACACATTGTCCTTGTAAAAAAAGATATAATTATGAAGAATTTCAAAGCCAATGGTATTGTAATAGTAGCCTTCAAGTAATGGCTTTCAAAGCCGTTTGATTTTGTTTCTACATCTGTTGTTACTTGTATATTTAATACTACAAAATTAAAATTTTGTACAGAAATGAAATTATTATTCTGCTAAAAGAAAACTAGTTCTTAAAAACAATATTTGTCAAACTAGTTATTCTGCTAAAAGAAAGTTATTTGCAATCGCAACAAAAAGGAAACAAAATGCATATTTTTAAAATTCAGAAATACAAAGAATGAATGAAATTATGCATTAAGTGATTTTCAATAAAGTATGTAAAGCATATTTCCAATAAAACCTTTCAGAACGATGGAATACGAAATAATGCTCAATTTCAAACCGATATAGGATTTTCACAAAAGCTAGTTTTAAATAAGATATGTCACGAAAATATTGATTCAGCCCACGGACATTTTCAAGAAGATACATTGTCTTGGAAGATAACAAAAATGCGATACATTTATTTTGAATTGAAAACGCGAATACTACATTTAGATCCCTAGTTGTAATCTATACAATTCAGGAAGAAAACAAAGCAAGAATTCAAGCAAGCTAGTAAATTGTTTCATTTCTTTTTCCTCTCTATCTTTTTATACTTCTTCTTAAAAAAGTCAAGCTAAGAAAAAGACCATCACCTAACCATTCATTTTACATTTTTGTCAGGGGAGAAATGTTAAGGGGAATTGCTGTTCTTACCTTCTGTTTAAAAAGGTAAGAAAATCGAACTACAATATGGTTACAAATCAAAATGAAATGCTTCAGACAGAATTGCTGGATGCGACATGTACTCGGTTATAACATGTACCCAGCCCGCTCAGCTCAGCATTTTTATTCTTATATATTGTTAAATTGCGCATTTTTACTTTAAAAGTAGTTGAATTACGTTGTTCTTCTGTTACGGTTATGGTTTCCATGCCTTTAGTTAATCTGCATGCACTAGTTGTAAAATTACCAGCAATTAAAAAGTGCAAGTGGCACTAGGCCTAACGTTGTGGATATTTGTGTACATTTGAAACACTTAGTAGAATAGTGAATTAAGTCAGTTGATGCACCTGCTTCAGTGTCTTTTTGCCGAGTGTGACCAAAAGTTAACTCTTAATTTTCTACACCAAAAATTGGTCTTCCTACGCATTGGTCGAATTGCTTGTTTTGGCTTAGAAACATCAATGTTAATTAAAAAATTGTTTTTAAACTATATTAGGTGCTTTAGTTTTTTTTTTTTTTTTTTTAATGAAAATGTTTCAAGTTTTCATGTATTTTTGCCTTATGGTGAAATGAGAACTGAATTGATTGAACGGTGGACTATATCTCGAATGAAATTCGAGAAATGTTTAAATGAAGTACAGCAAAAAATGGGCATAACTTAATAGGCCGTAAAAGGAAGTCATGTTGTATCCACATCAGATACTTTTTCTTCCCTCAAGCAATCATGCAGTTAAAGAAAATTACAATAATCATGAAATATGTTAGGATTTATGGATAAGATGTTAATTTCGAACATTGAGTTTAATATTTGAAATTATGTTAAAATTTTTTGCAAATGATGCTCACAATTTTTTTGAAAGATATTATTTTCAAATGATACTAGTGTTTTTCAATAGCTTGCTCTCGAATTCCCTGCCATTCTGGCATTTTAAGTTTCCAAAAAGGACATCCAAAAACCTTCCCATAAATACCAATATCTTTATACCTCATTTTAATACCCGCGGGTTAACTCAATTACATTATGGCAAGAAAACGTGTGTTGAAGCAGAAGTAATAGGAAATGTTGCTTCGAAATAAAAATAACCGTTAAGTAACTTAAAATAAATCCACACAATTTATTATTTTTATTCTGGATTACGTACAATTAAGGTAAGTAATTTCGGGGATAAAAACTCTCCAAAATCATAATAATAGTAATGATGACTTGTGGTATCACAAGTCATCATTACTATTATCGCAAGTAATTTGGATTTTTATTTTTGAAATTTCAATAGACAGTTTTGTTTTACACTGATAACACTGTGAAAGTAATTTTATCATCCTTAATATTTCACTATAATTAAATATCCTTTAGATAGCGTTGCAGTTAATATCCAACCCGATTAATCTCTCTTCGTTAAAATCAAAGATGACTGTAGATTTATAATTAAAACTATCGTTATTCAAATTACGGTAGTTTAAATTACAAAATTGTATTTATTAGGAGAAGAAAACCATCTAATTATTCTCAAAAAAAAAAAAAAAAAAAAAAAAAAAAAAAAAAAAAAAAAAAAAAAAAAAAAAAAAAAAAAAAAAAAAAAAAAAAAAACAAAAAAAAAAAAAAAACGTTTTTTATTAAACTTATTTGATTCTTCCTTTCGCATTTCGAAATATTTCTCCGGAAAGTAAATTGCAAAGAATAAGGCATAATAGTCGCAGAATCGATATAGAAATTTGTATGAGAGAAGGATGGTCAAATACCTAGAGAACAAAACAAAATCCCACATAGCACAAAAACATCCTTGGGATATCCCAAGGATGTTGCTCGCGGGATATGCGCACATCCTCAGGACATCCCGGAATATCCCGCGAACCTCCTCCCGAGTGCTTAATGTCACATCCCGGGATATCCTCAGGACATCCTAACCAAGTCCCATCGACAGCGTGCGGGATGTTATTAGGATATGAACTCCTACTTACTACATCCTCAGGACATCCCACAAACCTCCTAAGCACATCCCATTATATCCTAAAAACATCCTATCTATGTCCCATCGACAGCATATGGGATGTTATTAGGATTTAAAGTCCTACTTACTACATCCTCAGGACATCCCGTAATATCCCAATTTCCTCCTAAACTCATCCTCCTGAGCGCTTAATGTCACATCCCAGTATATCCTTAGGACATCCTATCTACGTCCCACCGACAGCGTATGGGATGTTATCAGGATTTGAAACACTAGTTACAATATCCCTTTAACCTCTTAAATACATACTCTCAACTGCTTAGTGTCACATCCCAGTATATATACAGAGGAAAATTCCAGTGAAAGTATGTGAAGGTGTGATGATCTAAAACCTACTTTTTTTACACAGATAGTCTCAAATCGTTCTCCTATGGTTACTATGGAAAAATCAGAAATGTTGAAAATATTTATACAACTTATTTTGTTTTTAAATCTGAATTTGTGAATATATTAAAACTGAGCAAGGAAATTAAAATGAATTATTAATACAAAATATTAAAACTGAAAATTTTGCTTTTATTTTTAAGATATTAAAAATCTTTTGATCATTTTTAAACATCCAATAGCCCCCAAATTGAATTATTCATAATTAAATTATTTTACAAAATCAGTTTCTAATTTCAGTTAATTTGTATTAAAAATTGAATAATAAAATTACCCATTTAATAATCTTTACATAAATGAATCATCTTTCTTTAAAACATGTAAGGAATTTATAGTGTTTTGATGACACTGTTGGGAAATTGTTAAAAGGAATAAATTGTATTTTTAAAACTAAATCAATTCCTAGCCTCAGAATAAATAAATATGTTTTCGTAACATGAGAATGCTGCAGGCTTTTTTATATATTTAATATTTAGTTGTAAAAATTTGACATTATGTTAACAATTCTTTATATCATTCAAAAGGTAACTCAAGAAGCTCTTCTAAAATTCTATCTTTCTGCTCACACAATTAAAAAAAAAAATCTGAAAGGCCTCAGATTTTAGCAGTCACTCAAAGAGGCTAAAAGTTTATGAATGC